ATCATCATCATGATAATGTCATCAATGACAATCATCATGAGAATTTCGAAATTGAAATAAACTTTTTTGCAGTTGTTGTTAGTTGGTTGTTTTGATAAAATTGCCAATGGCCTCTCTCTCGTTTACTCCCGTGTGAGATTGAATTCCGAATGACACAGAATCACATACACACACACACACACACGATTCTCTCTCTCTCTCTCTCTCTCTCTCTCTCTCCCCATATCATGATATTTCACGTTCAAATTTCTTTTCCGTCTAAGTTTGTTTTTTTTTATTTGGTGATTCGATTTTAATCTAAAGAAAAACATCATCATAATAAACATAATAAGATTTTTTCCCAATATCATGGAATGGTAAACATCAATGAAGCAAGAAGAACGAAATTTCAAAGAAAATATAATTGAATTTAAAAAAAACTGAAGGAAAAATCTCCCGAGGACTTTTTCCATACAAAAATCACTTCTTTTTCTTTTTTTTTGCTTTTTTTGAAGTTGAAAAGTTTTCCAAAGAAAAGTTCAAATCAAGAAATTTTTTATGAAAATGTTTTTTTTTTGTGGTTTGTAGCTTGCGGTTGTTGATGATGTTCATTTTAATTTTCTTTTCTTCTTTCTCTCTTAACTGACTAGAACAGAATATTTCTCTGTTTCGAATTCTGGATTCTGGCCAGAGACACTACATTTTCGAATATTATGATCGATTTTTGATTTTGTCAAAATGAAAAAACAGCAAACAACCACTGATTTCCCAATAGGTCACCATTTTCAAAAAAAATCCTTCATTAGTGACATTTTTCGTTCTCTCTCTCTATTAGTTTGTTTTAGATGAGAAAATTTCCGTAAAAAAATGGGAAAAGATTATTGATTGATTGATTAATTTTTTGTCTTGTTTTTTGTGCAAAAAAAAGTTTCCAAAATTTTCCTTTAATCCTTTATTCTATTTAATTTGGTGAAGTGAAAAAAATAAATAAAATTACTTCCGTAGAAAAACTTTCCATAAACAAGATTATTGGAAAGTTTTTTTTGTTTATGGAAAGTTTTTTTCATTTAGCTTAGTTATCGTTTGATTATTCATTGTGAAAATTAAATGAGAAAAATTTTCCAAAAAAAACTTTTTAAATTGATTCAAATCAACTTTGTTTGGAGGAAGAGAGATTTCGAGATCACACTTCACAACAACAACAACTTTACACACCCACAAATTCTCATTATCTCTTCCATTCCCCCTCATTTTAACCCCCGCCCACCCAAACAGTGTTGATGATAATGATTATCATTATGATTATTAATCCTCATGAGTTTTATTAATCCTCAACAACAAAATCATCATCAAATGACAAGTAGAAAACAAAAGCCAAAATATAAAGTTTCATTGAAAAAAAAACAAAACAATGTGTGTGTGGTTGAAATGGTGGGATGAAAAGATGGAAGAGAGAGAGATTTCCCTTTGAGGATTATTTTTGACACTTTTTTTCTGTTGTTTTTTCTCGGTCGTCATCGTTGTTTGTTTGTTTCAACAGAACTTTCCGTCCTGCTTTCCCAGAAATTTTCCCACCACCACCAAGAGAATTGAAAAATTTATGTTACGTCATCATCAACATCATGATGATCAAAACTGGAGTGTCCTTCGTTCTGTTGATTTTCTTGCTGTGTGGTTTATATTTGAAATGAAAACTGAAAAAAAAATTTTCCATTTCAAAACGAGATATGAATGAAAAATTAGTTAATTTTTGGAGAAGTTTTCTGGTAAAAAAAAAGTTACAATAATTATCACTGAAATGATGATCATCATTTTGTTGTTGTTGTTGTTGTCGTTGTTAAATAACAACAACAATTAATTAATTACTAGTTTTATTTTTTTGTAAACTTTATAAAAGTTTTAACTATAATTAAACTTGAACCGGAATTGTAATTTTGTTTTTTTAATTTTTTTCGTTTGTAAAAAAACCAAACTAAATAATAGCCATTATTACAAGCTGGTGGACATGGAACAATAATTGCACAATGTCGTAATGCAAATATTATTACCTGGCGTACAATACCTATGCAAGTTGATGGTGAACCATGTCGTTTATTACCATCAATTATTAATCTAGAATTACGTAATAAAGCAAATATTGTTGCCAATACAAAAACATTTGAACATAAACGACAAATGTAAGTATTATTATTATTAGTAGTAGTAAAGTGTTAAAAAAATGAAAATGAAAATGGAAATTTGAAACATACACCAAAAAAAATTCTATATAGAATTTATCACATTAACCCTGTGTGTGACCTAAATATCAGGTTCATTCACCTTTATTATTATTATTTTCAACAAACAAGAAGAAAAAAAAATGTTTTCTTTTGATTAGTTTTTTTTTCAGTATTCTCTATCACCATCACCACCTTTTGTTGTTGTTAATTGTCATTTTGTTTTGTTCTTTTAACCCGTCAGATTCATCAGTTTCCTGGTTCTTTGAAAACCAATCTACCTGAGTTTTTTGTTTGTAATTTATTTATTCAGTTTTTTCGGTTACGTTTGATGAATACATAATCAAGAATCTTCACAATTCATTATATGAATATTAAATGAATATATAATCTGGGAGCCGGAAATTTCCGGGAAAATGTAGTTGAAGAAAATTCCCGAAACAAATGACATAAATTCTGATCCGCTTTTTAATCAAAAAACTAAACAAAAAAATGAAGGTGTTTGGTTTAATTTACACTGTGTGTGTGTGTGTGTGTTTAGGTGAATGAAATGGTTTACTGGATTTAGGAGAATAACATTCACAAGATTAATACTCATATTTCATCATCAGCATTTTGTTTGCATTTTGGCTTTTCTCTCTAGTCATCATATTCGGCTAGAGAGTCAGGAATCAAGAATCAAAACAGATCAATCACTATTACTACTGCACAGCAAAGAATATGATGTTTGTGTTTGCTTGAAAAGAACACCCCACAACAAACAAACAAACAAGAAACTCATTCATTAAAATGGGATTTTTCATCACTTCAGTTCCTGTTTACCTTGAATTTTTTTTCTCATTACAAAAGTTTTGTTAATGATGAAACAAAAGGCGAAGAAAAATTTAATTTCCGTTTAAAAAAAACTTGGATTCTTTTTTTTTCTTCACTTTTTGGCCAAATCCAATTCTAATGAAAAATTTTTCTTTTTAACACTTTTCTCTCTGTAAATAAAATGAATTTTTAGGCCTGCATTGGAAAAAATAACATTAAAAATACGTAAATTAAATCTAAATGATTATGAAACATATCATTATGATAAGGAAAAATTGAAAGAAATTTGTAAGTATTGTTTTTTCTCTGAAAACTTTCTGAAAAAAAAACATCATTTCCATTAACCAAATTTCCGTAACCTTTCTAAATAGCCACTGTACTTGGTACAATAACTATTGATCAAATAATGGAATTAAGTAATGTACGAATACGTATTAATGAAATGATGAAAGAAAAAGGATTAAGACGTCCATCATCAGATTTAACTGCTGTTGCTGCTGCTGCTGTTGGTAATGTAACCCCAATAACGGCTATGTCGACTGGACAATCATCACAATTGCCGACATGTTTTGAAAATGAATCGTCACCGAATGAAACA